CTCACAGTTGTGGTTATTTTCATCAGGCTAAGCTACTACAACTACAGCAATATGGAGGCTTTGGGGAATCCCAAATCCAGAGACTCCTTTTTCTTTTTTTTCTTTTTCTTTTTGATACTCTGTATGCAAAATGAGAGGAATATTCCCCGGTTCTGCTTCAATAAACTATAGGTAGTCCTTGACTTACGGCCACAATTGGCAGCAGAACCTCTGCTGCTAAGTGATGTGGTTGTTAAACTAGGCCTCTGGTGAGAACAGTTAACAAAAATGCAGGGTCTTTGGGATCGCAGAGGAGGAAGGAGAGAGGAATAGGGCAGAACACACGAAATCCGTGTGTTACTCCATTTGCTTTGCACGCTTAGGGATGGGAAAGGGTCTTCTCAGAAAAAGAGGCGATTGCACTCAGGGGCGTGAAAAGGCCTGGAATGCTTTTCTGCATCCTTGAGAGAGCAGAGGGTAAAAATGCTTGGAATGGCTGTGCAAAGTGATTTGGCAAAGAGATGGGTCTGGCCCCATGGTGGGAGGTTGTTGGGAAGGGTGGGAGATGTGTCTGCAGGAAGACTGTGGTGGGAAGGTTTCGTAGCAGTTCTGAGAATCTTAGCTGGTCAGGATTACTTCAAGCTGAGAAGAGAATCAGCCTCTCTCATATTACGCCATTTCCCCCCCCCCCCTCCTTGTTTTGGGATGGTTTCTAACCATTGGCTCAGCTTTACGCTGACCTCTGACTATAATGAAGATTTGAATTGAATTCAGTTCAGTTCAACTGATTGATTTCGATTTGAGTGTCGTAGGCTTTACATGTGCGTGGAGGCCCTACTTTAGTGTTCAAAAGCATGATGGGAGTCGTAGTTCAGGGGCACTTGTAGTCTGGTTATTTGAATATCGCTGTTAGCTAATTGTGCAACGCAAAAAGGACTGGTCACATTGTCTCAGTTTCCCCATTCCTGGGGTTGCGACAGCTTTTCCCAACCTGACTAAGTCCCAGATGCTTGGACTTCAACTCCCAGAATTCCCTAGTCCAGGGGTAGGCAACCTTGGCTCTTTTATGACTCGTGGACTTCAACTCCCAGAATTCCTGAGCCAGCATGGCTCAGCATGGAAACCTCTCCATTTCTCCTCAGCATGGCTGGCTCAGGAATTCTGGGAGTTGAAGTCCACGAGTCATAAAAGAGCCAAGGTTGCCTACCCTTGCCCTAGTCAGATGGGCCGTGGCTGAGAATTCTGGGAGTTGAAGTCTAGTCCCCTCACAGTGACCCAGTTTGGGAACACTGCATGACAGGGCCAGGTTAAGATTGAGGAGATCCCAGTTCAAATCCTCCTGTCCACCATAAAACTGACTGGGGGGATGCTCCAATTAAAGTGTCGATGAAAGAAATGAATCCGCTCTTCTCTTCCACCATCACCCCCACACACTCCACCACATTGATCAGCCTGTCCACCGAGTCAAGTATTTCTCTCCTGGGGGCGTTTGCACACTTGTGGTCTCTTCGGGTGAATTCCTCCAAAATAAATGCCGCCTCCAGCTTCTGTCCTGCCTGTCACCTTCTGCGCTTTAGGGCATGAGATCAGCTAGTAACAGTGGTTCTCAACCTGTGGGTCGGGACCCCATTTGGGGTCGATCGACCATTTCACGGGGGTCGCCAAGCAAGGCTGTCTGCCATTTGTTTTGTCTGCCATTTGTTTTGTCCGCCATTTTTTCCCCCTTTTCCGGCGGGTGCCTTACCTCCCTTGGGCTGGGCCAGCTGGTGGTCGGCCTGCTCCGTCTCTGCCGCTTGCCAGCTACGCCTCGGCCGGCGCAGGGGGCGGAACCACGCATGCGCGGCGCTCCCAGGCAGGGAAAGTCCTCAACTTACAACCGGTTGGGTAGTCCTCGACTTACGACCGGTTTAGTCCTCGACTTACGACCGGTTTAGTCCTCGACTTACGACCGGTTGGGGTCGCGGCATTAAAAAGGTTGAGAACCACTGAGCTAGTTAATTCTTCACATGCTTGGCTACTTTGGGCCTGCCAAAGCTGGCCTAGCGTGGCCGTTCTCTCACATGCGTGTTTACTCCTTTTTCCTGATTCCGGGGCCCATCAGAGATGCCTATTTTGACATGACTTTTTCTCATTGTCATTCTGGGGAGGGAAATGAAAGGTTTAAATAATGGTAGAATAAAAAGAATGGTGTTCTGTGATTTCAGGTTTCAGCTCTTAAGCAAAAACTGAGGTTTAAATACAGGTAGTCCTTGACTTATGACCATAATGGAGTCCCAATGTTTCTGTGGTGAGTTTTGCCCTGTCTTACGACCATTCTTACCACGGCTGTTAAGTGAATCTGCCTTCCCCATTGACCGTGCTTGTCAGAAGGTCGTAAAAGGGGATCACATGACCCCGGGGCACTGCAACCGTCATAACTCGATTTTGATCACGTGACCATGGTGTTGCTGCAGCGGTCTTAAGTGTAAAAGCCAGCCATAAGTCACTTTTTTAGTGCCAATGTAATTTCAAATGGTCACTAAACGAACTGTTGTAAGTTGAAGACTACCTGTAATGGCAGAATTTCAGGCTTCAGCTTTTTAGCAAAGCCTTCTCCTTTCCGCCTTAACTCCCCCTTTTATTATGTGTGTGTGTATACATACACACACACACATACACACACACATACATACTCTCGCCTTGGTGCCCCTAGCAGGAGACCCTTGGAAAGAAAGGGCCACGGCCAAGTATTGTTTGAGTGGTTTCCACTTTCTTTTGTCTCATTTGTGTAAACGTTCAATTGTTCACCCACCCACGGGCTGCTAAAGCGAGTAGCAAAGAAGAAGAAGAAATTTTCTTTCCAAAAAGCGTCCTCTGTCTCGGAAGCTGGGAGTGGAGTGACTTTGGTTATGTTTAAAAGTGGGGGAAGCCATCTAAACCTGGGAAAGGGTCAGGAAGATGCCCAGTACCATTGTCTATCTACTGTTTCAGCATCCTGACTCTGTTGCCACGGAGATAGTGACCTAGATAAAGCCCCTCCTGGGGCTCAGAGATCTTTTAAATGCATGGGAGGGGATCTCATATGGCAGACCAGGGCCCTTGGGAAAGAAAGTGGCCTGATTTTAACTTAGTTATCCAATATATCCAGGAGGGAAGTGGTCAGCCAAGATAGGCCTATGAAGCTGGAAAGGGGAGCCGAAAAGCAAAAATTCACTTTTGTAGCTCTCCTCCAGCAGCTGATGCGTGTGGTCCTCAACTTGCAACCACAGCTTGGGGCCAGCTACTAAGCAAGGCAGTTAAGCGAGTCACGCCACGTCGCTTTTTGTAAAGGTTGTTAAGCAAATCACTGCAGTTGTTAAGTGAATCACACGGTGGTTAAGCTGATCTAACTGACTTTGCATGTCGGGAGGAGAAAATGAAAATTTATTTATTTATTTATTTAGAAAATTTATACCGCCGCCTACTCGCACATGGCAAGGCTTAACACAGATACCTCAGCCAAATTAGCTAACATCGTCAGTGCGTCAAAGGGAGGCTTGGCTGAAGATTAAGCCCACAGCTAACCTACATCGCTGGGTTGTTGCATGAACAAAAATTCAGCACTGATGGGAAGTATTTTGTGTCCCCTCCCCTCCAAAGGACACACACCTGGAGTACAGGAAAAAAGGCCTGAAGGCTTGCAAGGATTTATTTTTATTTTTTTTTAAGTTTTCTGTTTGTGGTTTCTGTTTCTTGGGCAATGAGAGGGGATGACTGAAATCAAGAGTGTTGTGTTGCATTTCTTTGTTGCATAATGGTCAATGAACTTGGTTCAGTGTGGGTGAATGCACCAGAGAGACAAGACTGGGGACAAGTCACCCTGGATCAGATCTAGCTAGGAGTTGACGCTGCCTTGATGACACATACAGTTAGTCCTCGGCTTAAGACCACAGTTGGAACCAGAATTTCCATTGCTAAGCAAAGCAACTCTTAACTGAGTCACATCCAATTTTGTTAACAACCTTTTTTTTTTTTATTACCACGGCTGTTAAATGAATCACACGGTCGTTAATCAAATCCGGCTTCCCCCATTAACTTTGGCAGAAGCCAGCTGGGAAGGTCCCAAATAGCGATCATGTGACACACACACAGACACACACTCCAGGATGCTGCAACTCTCATAAATACATGCTAGTTGCCAAAAACCTGAATTCTGATTGTGACCGTGGGGGATGTTAAATAGTCCATATGTATGAGGATCAAGTTGTAAACCAAAGAGCCGTTGCAATTTTGAACGGTCACTAAACAAATGGTTGTAAGTCAAGGACTAACTGGGCTTGGACAAGGACTAGTCAATTGCTTGTCAGTCCAGTTGGTACAAGGTAAAAAGAACAGTGGATCTGTATGTGTATGGCAGGGGTCTTCAGACTTGGCCCTTTTATGACTTGTGGACTTCCACTCCCAGAATTCCTCAGCCAGGCACTCTGGCTGAGGAATTCTGGGAATTGAAGTCCACAAGTCATAAAAGGGCCAAGTTTGAAGACCCCTGGTCTATGGAGATTCTCAGCCCATCCAGGTTATAGTTATCCCAAAGATGCTTTTTCATGAGGCAACTGGACTTTCTTGTGGGGTTTTTTTGAAGACATTTCGGTTCTCACCCAACAGCTCTGCCTGGATGGTGGGGAATGGGAGGATTTATACCAGGGGTCTTCAAACGTGGTCCTTTTATGACTTGTGGACTTCCACTCCCAGAATTCCTCAGCCAGCGTGCCTGGCTGAGGAATTCTGGGAGTTGAAGTCCACAAGTCCATAAAAGGGCCACGCTTGAAGACCCCTGATTTATACAGTCAGAGCTGAAGAAGCTTCTTGGATGAGAAGCGAAACGTCTTCAAAGAAAAACAAGAAAGTCCCGTTGCCTCGTGAAAAAAACATCCTTGGGAGTGGATCTGTATCCGGGAGCCCAATATAAAACCCACTTTTTCACCGCTGAATGAGTGAGCGGATTCCATCTCAACTCTTCCTTTTAACAACCTTCGTTTCTCTATGTGTCCCTCCACTTTTAGGCGACCGCTTGCGCCAGACGGAGAACCGCGCCACCCGTTGCAAAGTGGAACGCCTGCAGCTTTTGATGCAGCAAAAACGCCTGCGCCGGAAGGCAAGGAGGGACGCCCGGGCCCCTTACCACTGGCTGCCCAATCGAAAATCCGGCCGCACCAGCAGCAACAGCAGCGTTTCCAGTGAAGGCAGCCTTGATCTAGACTTCGAAGATTCAGTTTGGAAACCCGAAGTCAAAGCGGACATGAAATCCGAATTTGTCGTAGCATAAAAAATAATAAACCTTGGGTAGGGGGAAAATGGCATCTTTTGGGGTGGGCAGGGTGGGGCAGGGCGTGTTGAGGGAGAAAAAAAAAGAATTGAAAGACCATTTAGTAATAATAATAATAATAATACATTTTTTTTTTTGGTCCGTGAGAGCAAAGCTTTTTTTTGGGTGCTTGATTCTAACACAAGACTGGATGGCTGTGGATTGCGTTGCGTGGACCTCGTCTTCAGCTGCACCGAAGTGGATCAGCCCAGCCTTGGAACAGTATTTTCTATTTTCAAAAAAAAAAACCTGTTCTGCTTTTATTTTAAGAACTGAAACAGCTTGGGGGGCAAAAGCAGGCGAGCGAGAGACAATTTGGAAAGCAAGATGGCAAACACATTTCTTGGGGAGAGCTTCCTTTGATTTTGGAAAGAAGGAGAATCTTCAATGGCTGCCTTAGAAAAAAAACGTGTTCAGGAAAAGCCGGACCAGTCATGGATTGAATGGAGAGAGAGAGAGAGAGAAACGAAAAGTTTAACCTTCTGACTTCCTAATTTTATTTTACCATTGGGGATCGGAGGGCCAAAGAGGAAGGGGCGAACCAACCCAAAGGTTTGCGTGGGCTGCTTCCTCCCCACCCGAGCATTGACAAAAGGGTGTGTGTTTGAAACCGGAGGCAGGGTTGTCTCCGAACGCTTCCTCCTTTTTTTTAAAAAAAAAAATTATTATTATTATTTTTTATTTGGGTGACTTTTGTGTAACGGGAAGCGCTGTGCATTCTTCAGACTGAGGGAGGGGCCCCGATGGAGGGTGGGTGGGTCAAAAAAAAGAAAGAAAAGAAATGAGGGTGTATGCTTGTGTGTGTGCGTGCACATGTCTTATCTGTGTGTGTTTCTTTCCCTTCCTGGATATGTAGCATTTCTGAATTATTCTTGATCTGTCCGATCTCCTCTTAAGACCCCACTGGTCTCCCCTTATTCACTTCCAAGGATGTTTTCTGTCACGGGCACTTTAAAGAGGTGTGACTCGTGCAGGGGGGGGGAGGAGAGTTTTGGAGGCGATTCTCAAACAAAACGGAGGAGTAAGGGGATATGGAGTGGGGGGACGCAGGGTAAAGAAATACTGTATGCCCTCAGTTTGAGGGCTTCCTCTCTACTTCACATTGTACAACATGAATGCGAGATACGCAGTTTAAAAAAAAAATAATAATTCTGTGCATTAAAACGTAAGAGGGGATTCTGATCTTGCCTGGTTCTTTTTTGTTTGTTTGTTTTTAAAGAACCAACAAAATATGTTACGAGCTAGGCTGGGGAGAATAAGATTTAAAACCTACCTTGGACAGCTAGAAAGCCGTCTTGTGATATTTCTGTTTTGTTTTTTTTTGCCAACTGCACACAAAAATCAGCCCTAATATATTTGGCTCCTTGGTTCTCCCCGTGACAGAATTCTCACCCGTTCCCCTTTCGTGTTTACCTCATCCGTGTTGGGTAGCTGCTGAGAGAGTTTTCAATGCCTTTTTTTTTTTTTTTTTTAGCCCCTAAAATTGGCCTGCATCCTTGATCCTGCCTTCCCATATCCTCCATGAAAAGACCCAGGCTTTCTGTCCATTCTCAGAGGCCATTTTGCCATGCACAGAAGCCCAAACTACACCCTCTGGTTACAGAGACCAAGTCCTTGTTCTCATCCAATTTTTGTTTTAATTTGTGTGTTTTTTTGTTTTTGTTTTTTAATTTTTCATTAATGGACACAAAAGTAATCTCTGGAAACTTAAATGCTAGGGTATTTTTGTTGTTGCTGATTGACGTTGATGATCTGAGCCAATCATTTTTCATAGGCAGTAGAAATTAGTTCTCATTTTTCTTCGCAGATCTAGCAACCACAAGTACGTTTGTGTATATGTGTGTCTATGTGTGATGTTTTGAGTTTCAAAGAAAAGACTGTGTGTGGAGAATAACTTGGGATCGTCCATAGATCCAACTTTTGAAATAAGGATTTAATCTGCCAAGACCATTTCTATGAAAACCTTATCATGGAGGGCCCCTGCATAAGCATCTCTGGGTCATGATGTGAATATAAACACATGTTTATATTAAAAAAATCACAATTCTCCCTGAAAATAGAATAGAATAGAATGGTGACTCAAAGCTGGATCTTTGGCAAATCATTTTTGACGGCCACATTTCGCATGAATTTCTTTCGAGGTCCCCCAATCAATGAGGTTCCCCAACCTACAATAAACCTAGGTTATGAGAAGAGAAAGTCACAATAACTTTGGTGTGGGTCTCTCTAAGAGCAAATAGGCAATTCCTGACTTGCTTTGTGACCGGCATGGATGGGTGACGTGCCCCTCTTAAGATGCTGGATTGCATTTTTCACAATTGATGAGGGATGAAACAAAGACAGGTTTTCCATCTCCTCTTTCTTTAAACATCTATTCTAGGCCCTTTTTAGTCCCTTCACCCATCCATCCAGGCCAGGGGTAGACAACCTTGGCTCTTTTATGACTCGTGGCCTTCAACTCCCAGAATTCCTGAGCCAGCATGGCTCAGCTTGGAAACCTCCCTGTTCCCTCAGCATGGCTGGCTCAGGAATTCTGGGAGTTGAAGTCCACAAGTCATAAAAGAGCCAAGGTTGCCTACCCCTGATCCAGGCTGAAGAGAAAGATAAGGACTCATTTTCTTTTTCTTTCTATCAAGAGCTGGAAAGTGTCCCTTTTCCCCTTTCTTCAGCCTTCTGTTTCATTTTGAGTTTTCATTTAAGTTGTTTTCTGTCACGGGCACTTTAAAGAGGTGTGACTCGTGCAGGCATTTTGCAGGCATTAAAACATGGGGATTTTGCAGGCATTAAAACATGGGGAAAACCACACTGGGGGGGGGAAAAACAGGCAGGGGTCCCTCTCCGTTTATCATTTTACTCTGGCTGATCCACCATTTCTCATCTCTTTATGCAAACCTTTTCCATAGTTCAGATGATCGGAGCAATGTTGGGGTACAAGAGAGAGACCCACATCTCCATCCATGGCTACCTGCATCTTTGGCCTAGGAATTTGTAACACTACTAAGTACCCAATGTTAATTTTCCCCCTCCTTAAAAAAAAAGAGGCTAATCAAAGCCAGAACAAATCTGTGAAGCAAATGTGTTTTTTGGAGAGAGGCTTTCTTATCAATTACTGTACTCCACTATCTTCCCTCTCGTGGCGGTTGGTGCCTTAAAGCTCTGCTGAGATCAAGAGGCATTCTCAAAAAAAAAAAGGGGTCCTCTTGAGAGGTTGAAGCTGGGATATTCTCTGTTTTCCCCTTTTTGGAGGAAAAATGCACAAAACTTTTTTGTAGCTCGGAAACGCTCTTGCCTCTTCAAACTATGGGCCGTTCTGTGTCCATTACTTTTTGTTTTCCACCATCTATGAAATACAGAGATTTGTGATGAGAGACTAGTCAACTCTTCTGGCTGTCTTAAGAAGTTTATCAAAAGTTTAATTAAACTTGTTTTTCAAAGCTCACCACTCAGATTTGTTGGGGGGGGGAATAGGGTACCCAAGATAGTAGGAGGCAAACTTTGCATTGGAATTTGGCTACGATTTTTGCAGCATTTTATGGTTAGAAGTCAGGTTGAAGACGGGCCTTCTCTCCTTTGTAGATTAATGATAATTCCAGAAACTTCTTAAAAGGAAAACTAAGGTCCTGTAGAGAATGGAAAGTCACATGTTATTCTCCAGATGTGCTGACCAGCTGCTCCAATGAGAGGTGCAGCAACACATCTGGGTGGATCCAACACATTTGGATGATTGAAGTGTTGGGGAGAGCTCATCCAAATAGGATTGTGAAACTAATTTTGGGGTGCCTGCAAGATGGTGTCAGGTTGTTGCTTCCAAATAACTCCACTTATATTTCTCTACGTTGGTCGCCCCAACCTTGTGTTTAGCAAAGATCCAGGGTAGCCCCTTCATCTCATCTTTTGCTTGTATGTTAAGACAATTGCACAGCTGTTCACCTTCCCCACCCTCCGAGGTCACACAAAATTTGCATCTCTTCCTGGAATTTTCTTGCCAACTAAGGGAAGTGGGCCACCGCCCCCCCTCTGGTCAAATTGTGTCATTACACTTCCTCTTTTCTTTCCCCTAGATGTGAAATTTCCTTTGTATGTGATGCTGTAGCGGGATTTTTTTTTTTTTAAGTTTTTAAAATGTTTTTTTAAGTGTGTATTTAAATGTACTACTTTTTTGTATGGTGTGTGAATATATATATATCCTTACTTCCTGCCCCTCCCCACTTCATCCATTTTTTTCCCCACTTGTCACCTGGGGGAGGGGTCAGCTTTTTTTTTCGCCCCATTGCTGAACATTTAGGTAGCAGCAAAAATGAATCCCAGAAGCATTATTTAAAAAAATAATAATAAAGATCCTCCTGTATGTGTGATTTGAAAGAATGTGGGGGAGGGGGTGCGAGGGGAAAACACATAACTTGTTTTATCACCTCATTTAAGTTACCTGTATTAAAAAAAAGAAACTTTTAAAATGATTTAAAAAATAATAAACACAAAATAAAGATTGCTTGAGCCACATTTCGGTTGCAGCCTAAATAATTCTCTTTCGTTTTGGTATGAAATTAAACTGTCAGGGCAAGAGAGGGAAAGACCCTTTTAAACTCCAGCTGTTTTGCCGTGGTATGGTTTAGTCACAAACACACAGGCATAAGTGTGCGTGAGACAGTGTGCCTCATTTCCAATTTTCTCCCCAAGGGTGTGCATGAGGAAGGCATATCTGATCTGGAAACAAATTTCCTTTCCTACGAATTGCGAATAGCAATGATTTATGGTTTTTTATTATTATTATTTACATTCCATCTTTATTATTTTTATAAAAACTCAAGGTAGGAAAAATAACCTTCCTCTGATTTTTCCCCATAACAGCCCTTTGCGATGAGATAGGTTGAGAGAGAGTGATGGTGCAGTCATTCAGCTGGCTTTCATGCCTAAGACGGGACTAGAACTCACCGTCTCCTGGTGATTCACCCAAAGTCACC